GGGATATATTACGTGCGGTTAGGTTTAGGTTTACTATACTGGTAATTCTTGGCTTAAACCCACAATTGGGACCAGAATGTCTGTCTTTAAGTAAGACAGTCATTAAGTGGGTTACACTAGTTTTTGTTACCTTTCTGTCATGGTTGTTAAATGAATCACACAATTGTTAAGCAAATAACATAATAACAGAGTTGGAAGGATGCTTGGGGGTCTTTTAGTCCAACCCCCTGCTTAAACAGGAGACCTCATATACAGGAGACCCTATAAACAGGAGACCCTATATGCCAGAGGTCTCCAAACTTGGCAACTTTAAGAATTGTAAATTTCAACTCCCAGAATCCTCCAGAAGTAAAGCTTTGTCAGAAACTGATTGGGGAGGTTTCAATTGGCAATCATGTGAACACATAGCTGGCTGGAGAATTCTGGGAGTTGAAGTCCACAAGTCTTAAAGTTTGGGGATCCCTGCTATATACAAAGCTATATACAGCTCTTTTTTAAAAAACATCCAGTGATGGAGCACCCCACACTGGTTTCATTAACTTTGCTTTGAATCAGAAGCAAAGCTTTGCCAGACATTGATTTGGGAAGGTTTCAAATGGCAATCACATGAACACAGAATAGTGCAATCCTTGTAAATACTTGCAGGTTGCCAAGCACCCAAATTTTGATTACATGATTACAGGGACATTGCGACAATCGTAAGCGTGAGGATCGGTTGTAAACTATTTTTTTTTTAATGGTGTCATAATTTTGAACGGTTGTTAAACAAATAGCAATAGCACTTAGACTTATATACTGCTCCATAGTGCTTTACAGCACTCTTTGAGTGATTTATATTGTGAACATATTGTCCCCAACAATCTAGGTCCTCATTTTACTGGAAGGCTTGAACCACATCAGGATCGAACTCCAGACTGCAGGCAGAGTTAGCCTGCAATACTACATTCTAACCACTGTGTTACCAGGGATCTAAAGAAATGGTTGTAAGACAAGGATTACTTGTACTAGCTGATATAAATTAAATTCCAAAATGTCTGGTTGCCAACTCCACGCAGTTTTACTCTAGAAGAAGGTTCAGGACATTACTGGCAAAAGAGAAAAGTAGCAGTGGTCACTGTAGCTAACAGCCTCCCGTTCTCTTTTTTCCTGTAGAAAATCCATCTGCTAAATGTTATTGGAGAAACTAAGGAGAAATTCTGAGGAATATTGCAGGATTGGGATTTGATCATTCCTGCATATGGAGTAGAGTCCCTCTCCTTTTCCTGAAATTTGGAAAGGAGAATTGGGGAAGGAGGGATTGTCCTAGAAGGAAGAAGGCCCACAGGCAATTCACCAGATAGTCTTTGCTAGAACAAGTTTGGCTTTTAAAATAGTTCATAGGATGAGCATTTTGTGTTTCATGCCTTAATTTAAAAATATAAATGCATGCTATATAAAATAATGTAAAATGAAACTATTGTGCCTCATATCACATCATAGTGGGGGTTACTGAACGGCAAAATTCATACCCAGATACTAAATAAAAGCCTATCACATATTAGATGCTCAAGCAGACTGATCTTAATCAGGGCTCTGTCTGAATAGTTACAACTAAAAACCAAAACTATCCTAGTGAAAGCACAGTTTCCATGAATTATCTAGGCCTTGGCATCATTCAAGTTTTTCTTTTTAGCAGCGACAATAGCAGATGTTCCAGATTTTTTCTCCCCCAATAAAAGCGATCTTTAAAAACATATTTTTTTTCTGCAATGCTTTTAAGACAGGCTAATTACCGATATTATATTCAGGTTTTTTTTTTAATGATTCACGTCTTCCATCATTTTAAATATCAGAAGTTGATTTTATTATTTACTTCTGGTTTTAGTATCAAATATATTTATTGCAAACTACCTTGCAGATTGTGCTGACAGTACATATATCTAAGAAATAAATAATGCTATATGCCACCAAAAAAAGCTCTATCATTGCTGTACTGTAATTATAGTATTCATGTTCTTCCAGAAAATTAAAATGGCATAAATACAAGAACTTCTTCCTTTGTATAGACAAGCACAAAATTCTTAAGCAATGTCTACCTCAATATACAGTATTTCATTAAAATATCACTATTGTTTAAATTTTGGACCATAAGAAAGGCTGAGTGCCAAAGAATTGGCAACTTTGAACTATGGTGCTGGAGAACTCCTGCGAGTCCTTTGGACTGCAAGGCGGTCAAACTGGTCAATCCTAGAAGAGATCAACACTGACTACTCTTTAGAAGGCCAGATCCTGAAGATGAAACTCGAATACTTTGGCCATCAATGAAAAGGAAGGACTCGCTGGAGAAGAGCCTAATGCTGGGAAAGATTGAGGCCAATAGAAGAAGGGGACGACAGAGAATGAGGTGGCTGGATGGAGTCACTGAAGCAATTGGCGTGAGCTTAAATGGACTCCAGAAGATGGTAGAGGACAGGAAGGCCTGGAGGAACATTGTCCATGGGGTCACAATGGGTCAAACACAACTTTGCAACTAACAACAAAATTCTTTAAATTGGAAATTCATATCATAGGTTCTCTTTTGGAGTGAGAAAAGGTCATCTTTGGCGGAAAAACAAATCTGGTCATGTTGCCAATTTCAAAAGCCAATACAAAGATTTATGCCACCAGATAAAGACTGTATGCACCAATTATCACATTAAACAAGAGGAAAACCTTCTATGCACCACTTCCACCCGCGCTTTCTACAATTTTGTAAACAACACACCAAAAGATTCAAGGTCCATCCCACCCCTGAAAGGACCTAATGGTAAAGACTGCAATGACAACACCATTAAAGCCAACCTCTTTAACACATTCTTTTTCTCAGTATTTGTAAATAGCAATGTATTTCCTAGTCGAACCACAGACAACTACAATGATCTAATACATATCGATTTTACAGAAGACAATGTTGAAAAAGCACTATGTAATCTAAAACCATCTTTATCTATTGGACCAGACGGAATATGTGCCTACTTCTGAAAAAAGCTACCCACTGCCATAGCCGAACCTCTAAGCATAATCTTTGAAAAATCTTTCAGGACCAGCTCCTTGCCTAACCTATGGTCACAAGCCATGGTCATCCCCATCTTCAAAAAGGGAGACCCCAGCCTAGTTGAAAATTACAGACCAATCTCTTTATGTTGCATCACCTGTAAAATCATGGAATCAATTATTAACCAATCCATCATCCTCCACTTAGAGACAAAAAACCTACTCTCTAATAAACAATTTGGTTTCAGAAAAAAACTATTCTGCAATCTGCAACTCTTACACTGCAAAAACATATGGACTACACAACTTGATCAGGGCAAAGCAACAGATGCAATCTACATAGACTTCTCTAAAGCCTTTGATTCAGTGGTACACGACAAACTACTCCTAAAACTAAAATCTTATGTTATTCTCTGGACACCTGCATAACTGGATAGAAGCATTCCTGTCAAACAGACAACAAATGGTCAAAATTGGGAGCGTCCTATCAAATTCTGTACCTGTCAACAGTGGTGTCCCCCAAGGCAGTGTTCTAGGACAAACTCTCTTCATACTCTACATAAATGACTTCTGTGATCATATTAAGAGCAACCGTGTTCTCTTTGCTGATGATGTAAAGCTATTCAACACTACACACAATACTGCTACCCTTCAAAAAGACCTTGACTATGTATCAGAATGGTCAAACAAATGGCAACTTCAAATCTCAACAAATAAATGCTCTGTCTTACATATTGGCAAAAAAAATATATCAGAAAATAAAATACAAGCTGAATAGTCAAGACCTTGTTGATGATCCAAACTCTGTCAAGGACTTTGGAATACTCATTTCTGATGATCTAAGTGCTAGAGCCCACTGTAACTACATAGCCAAAAAGGCATTGAGAGTTGTTAGCCTAATCCTATGTAGCTTTTTCTCTGGTAATATCACACTACTAACTAGAGCATACAAAACATTTGCTAGACCAATACTTGAATACAGCTCATCAGTCTGGTACCCACATTACGTATCTGATATTAACACAGTTGAGAAAGTCCAGAAATATTTCACAAGAAGAGTTCTCCACTCCTCTACTCATCTACAGAATATCTTATGCCACCAGACTTGAAATTCTAGACCTAGAAAACCTAGAACTATGCCGTCTTCGGTCCTATCTAAGTATAGTATATAAAATCATACATTGCAATGTCCTACCTGTCAATGAATACTTCAGCTTCAACCATAACAATACAAGAGCAAACTCAAGGTTAACCGCACCAAACTTGATTTCAGGAAATACAACTTCAGCAACAGAGTGGTCAATGTCTGGAATACTCTACCTGACTCTGTGATTTCTTCCCCAAACCCAAAAACTTTAACCTTAGATTGTCTACTATTGACCTCACCCCTTTCCTAGGGGCCATGCATAAGCGCACCAATGTGCCTACTGTCCCTGTCCTATTGTGTCATATGTATCCATTTTCTCATATGTATCCATTTCATGTATTCATAACTATGTTTATACTTATACCTATTATCTTGTTAGCGATTGACAAATCAAAATAATTCTAAAAGCTTAGTTGATGAAGCATCAAACAAATCAGAAGAAGTATCACTCTTGTATAAGAATATTTCTAGCAATACGGCTGATTATCTGTAATGTAGTTGGATGTTAGGAAAAATTGAAAACAATTTGGCAGTTTGGCAATGGAAGCAGAAACAAAGATTGAAACAACTAAGCCTGTTCAAAAAGTGTTAGGAAGGAAATGCAGGAGGATCTGAATATGGTTCTCTCTCTAGGGTCTTCTTCATGAATCATAGCAGTTGGTTATTGCCTCTATAATTATTACTTAGCTGAAATCCTTGTATTTCTTACAAGCTCACCCAAACGGCTTTTGCATTGAAGCTTGACAATAGGTTGGCATGTAAACTATGTAATAATCTGTGGTTGACTTCCTTCTCTATTTTATTGTTTCTTTTTTAATGGCGTGATGGTTTTCTCTGCCAGTTCCCCGCCAGCCTGGAGTGAGCAATCATCTCTTAGAAACATTTGAAATTGAACAAGGGATAAGTGCCAGTGAGGCTGAAGCAAATGATGACCCAGGTAAGCACTTTGTCAGTTTGGATCTAGTTAGCATTCTAGAAAGCTCTCTTAAGAGGAAAGCATTACTGTTTCTTATGTACTACATTCCTAAGAATATATGTATCACCGGGCATATGTGTATTTTAATACTAATGTGTACAAACCAGTTGGGCAATATAAAATGAGAACTCTACTTACTAAAAGCCATTCCTTGAATTCTGAGGAAAGTAGTGGGATAAATCTAATGAAATCTTCATAACTTTATAATTTGCTCCAATAGGATAAATTTTAACTAAATTGGGTATCCCATACTTTTCTAAAAGCAGAAATGAAGAGAAGAGCACAGCAGGAAAATGGCTTAGAATTCCTTTGTTTTCATCAATTGATGCACTAATAAAGCTTCTCCTTTTTGCAAATGTGATTGATATATCCTTTACATTATTTGTGTGAACACTGACTAACCTCACACTTGGCTTAGCCTCTACCAATCTAGTACCTTCAAAGTATTCGAATGAAAGTCTCAGCATGTTTACAGAGGACTGAGTTAACCTGTCTCAAGTCCAAAGCTCTTTTTCTTGATTTTCTTGATCTCTGTAGGTGTTCTGATTCATAGTTGCAACTTTGATGGTGGTTTGTGTGGATGGATCAAAGAAAGAAATGATGATTTACACTGGGAACCTGTTAAAGACTCCTCAGGTATTGCTCGATTTTCTTTCATTGAAGACAATGCTATATGATAAGCAAAGAATCAGAAATAAGAAAAAAGAATGGCATATATTTCTGGCAATTGATTTATTTGGAGTTGAGGAGTGTTTCTGTTAGAATGTAAAGTTTTGTTTTAACTTTCCTGTGTATGTAAATGTTCAAGGGCCATTTTCTTTGGACTATTCCTTGAATGGAAAAGTTTGAAAAGCAGTGTGTGGATGACACGATAATACCTCTTAAGGCAATTTTCTTGCATATTCATTCATATTTTTGTTCCTAAATCATATTAACATTTACTTCTTTTCTTTGTAATTGACAATGTTTGATGAGGGCAGTGTATCTAAATCTAAATATGTGTAGCCTGTGGTGTAACTGAAGCTTTGGAAAACTACTTACTAATAATGTGTGCTTCTGAATATGGATTTATATAATTACCTAGTTGCATTGAGACAACTCAAGTCACTTAAATATGGCTTGGGAAAGAATCACTTTGGGCATTACAACTAGATAATATAGTCACACTACAAGTACATTATGTACAGTATATATGGAAGGCTAAATAAGATGTTACGCCTTCTAATGCTATGCCTTTGTTTTGTTAGTACCGCATTTGTATAAAAGGTATATATTCTTTAGATAATTTTTCTAACTTGAAATATTAAAAATAAATTTAGAATATATATGCATTTATTATATTGATAGCATGTTTAAATGTGGCATGGCAACTTTAATACACTTTTGAATTTTCAAAAGAGATCAATGAAATAAATTACTACTTTTTTACTCATTCCAGTCTTCTCCTCTAACAGTTGATAGCTTTTGCCAACATATTATTTACCCTGGCATGAAGAAGTACACGGATGAGTAACTAATGGCAAATGTTAGGTATATTTCTGGAATTATGGCTCTAGACACTATGTTTACAGGAAGTGGGATGATTTTTGCATAAATGAACATGTTTAAAGTTATCTGAAATCTATGGATACAAACCTGCCTACATCCAAAAGAGAAAGTGGAAGATTTTCTGTACTTTTAACCAGTGGTGGAATTGGAATAATTTAACAACCGGTTCTCTGGCTGGGAAGGTGCGGACGGTTATTTCATGTGAATGGGTGGGTACGTCACTCATCATGCCCAGTCCTCCCTCCCAGTCACTCCCCTCAAAGGCAGATGTAGAATTCAGCCAGTTTGGGCTAATCCCACCACTGGCTGCCCCCACACCCCAGTTTTTCGGCCTGTTTTCTGGCCGTTTTTGTGCCGTTTTCCAGCCATTTTGGGGCCATTTTCAGGGATGTTCTTTGGGGTGTTTTCAGGCCTGAAAATGGCCAAAAAACTAGCAGGGGGGCACCAGCCAATGGTGGGATTTGCCGGTTCACAGAACTGTGCAGAATCTTAACTACTGGTTCGTCCGACCTGGTGAGAACTGGCAGCAGCCCACCTCTGCTCTTAAGTTCCTCAGAAACATGAATTGTTCCAGGCAGTAAATATTTTAAGATTAGTTTCAAATGAAAACCTCTTACCTTCCCTCTTAGAATAAATGGTGTATGAAACATTCCAAAGTAAACAGTGGAAATTCATTGAATATGTCTAGATTATTAATACTTTGGTGTTATTTCTTTAGTTGCAGCTCTAGTTTTTTTTGAGTAATAGGGTCCCCAAAGTGTCCTTCCACCAATGGAAAATTAGAGGATCAAATTTTAATTAAAAAATATTGATGAGAAAAAAAATATTTGTTTTTGCAAAACATGTTTCTCAGTTATTACAGCTTGGATTTTTTTTTAAAAAAGTGTTTATTATTTACCAATGTAGATAACAATACTTTCTGAATTGGATAAAACATCTTCTGCGATATTATAGAAAAATGCAGGTGATAGCACTCATATATGCACTATGTTATTCTACTTATGCTTTCTCAGATCTGAGTCAATTTTTCTATTTTTAACTAAATTGTGTGTGTGTGTGTGTGTGTGTGTGTGTATAAATAAATTAAAATAAATCAATCAAATCAGTGTTACACTCATATTATTCGCAGTGCTACAGCTGGGTGGCAAATATTGGCCTTTTGTTGCAGCCACAAATTTAATTCTTTATTATGATGTTCTTTTTCAAGGGCATGTTGAAATAATTTGTTTTCTCATCCCACTTTGTTTTAAACAGGCGGACAATATTTATCTATTTCTCAACCCAAAGGAAAGGCAGGTCGATTTGCCCGCTTGGTTCTCCCACTAGGCCATTTAGCTCGCTCCGAAGATCTGTGCTTATCTTTTCGGCATAAAGTATCTGGATTACACTCTGGTTTGCTTCAAGTCTTTCTAAGAAAGGCTGGTATTCATGGGCCAGCAATTTGGGGAAGGAACAGAGGTCATGGTTGGAGTCAGACGCATATAACACTGAAAGGACCTGGCATCAAAAGCGTAAGTACAACTCTGGGATTTAAGGAAAAGAGAGAGAGGGAGGGAGAGACAGAAAGATAGAGACAGAGACAGAGAGAGAGAGAGAGAGATGAAGAGGGAAAGCAATATTATTTATAATTAGGATATTTGATAGAGTTACATTTCCTTCTATTAATCTCTAAATGTGTTACAATTTCTTCAATTAAGTCTGGATTGCTTGATGTTAATTATAAAAATAGTAACTGCATTGCACCTTTTTCTATGAACCATGATAAAAATTAAATCATCTAACATCTTAATCATTATACTTTCTAATAAGTAAAGATCTTCCCTGATCTCCCCAGTATTGGATTAAATTCCCAGTTGTATTATCTTATGGATTGAACTTGAGACATATAAAGCATATCTTCTTCCCCAGCTTCCTCAAAATACTGATCTTTCCACAATAACCATTTTTCTTCAGGTATTGATTAGATTTGCAAGCACTACTTAAATTGCAATTCCCCACTTCAATTGCAAGATTTCATGATTTTAAAATCTAGAACACTTCTTCGTGCACAAAATCTGGGTGGGATGGATATTTGTGGTATGATAGAAGGAAGGTTAATGTGGATTTAAAAAATCATTATGTTAGATGTGCCTTACTGAGAATATTGAATAGATAAAAATGCAGGTTTTTACCTGAAAATAGTTCTGTGGCTCTCAGCATAAGAAGCATTTGATAGACAAGAAATAATAAACAAATACAAATGGCTAACTTATCATGAAATATTAGAAATTCGTCAAGGACAATACAAAATAAAATCAGAAGAGCAATTGATGACAGGGACAGTTGCCAACAGTTTTCTTATTTATGGTTGATGAAATTATTTAACGTAGACAAAAATGAGTTTATTCTTTTGAATATCATAACATGGAGTGGAAATGAAATTATGTACAAAAGATGGACCTGGAATTTTAAAATGCATATACTTCAGTTGAAATTTGAAACAGAGCAAGTAAAAGACTGATGAAAAGAATTATAAAGGGTGTTTGAGAGTAATATACGTAACAATATATGGAACAATGGATAAATAAGTGGTTGAAAGGATTGAAATTTACATGTTATAATCTTAAAGATAATTTTTAGAAAATGATGTACTGTTAGTATATGTTAGCAGAGAAATTGTCTAGAAGTATAGAAAGGTATGAAAACATTTCAAATACAGCAGAAACATTTTATCATATTTGGTGGACATGTTAAAAAAACTACAATATTGTGGATTCAAGTATATAAACTGATTTAGAAGATTTTAAAGATTAATATACAATTGAGACCAAAGATCTTTCTTTTGGGACCAATGGACCAACAGCTGGAAAAATTATGGGAACTTTGCATGTCATAACTGTGGCAAGATTACTACATGCGTGCATATGGAAAGATTTGGTGGATTGTTTAACTCTCTTTCAAGTAAAAGCCCATGTTGATCTCCATTAATAAATTATTGCAAAATTATTTTCAGTCTATCAGCCCAAATAATTGTTGTTATTCAATAATTATATTGACCTATAGTTTCTTGTTAAAGTCAAATTTTGTCCTTCTTTGGATGTTAATACTCTACTGGCCTCTTTCCAATTCTCTGGCACTTTCCTCCCTATAAGATTAATCATGCTTTGTAAAGGTTGTAAAAGTTCATCCTCAAATCATTTATATTAAGTACCTGATCATTCATCTGGTCCAGGCACCTTTCCTAGTTCAATCTTTTTATAGTTTTAGAAACCTCCCTTATTGTTATAAATCTATTCATAATCTGTGATTAACTTGGATGTACATGATAAGTAAATGCAAATTTGGCTCCTTTTATAGAACTCCTATTCAAAAATATTCCATATTTCTCTAAACACCCTAGATTGGGGCTTCAAACTCAAGACTGGGGGCCAGATCTGGCCTGCGGGGTACTTACATCTGGCCCGCAGGGTGTCCTGGACACAGCAGAGGACTTGCCCATGGTGCTTCTGCCAGCAAAAACGGAGCTCGGGAGGGCTGCCCTCCCGAGCTCCGTGTTTGCTGGCAGAGAGTTGCAGGAGGCTGTCACAGCTGTAAACAGAGCTTGGGAGCTAGTTTTTTCTGGCAGAGTGCTCGGGCCACCACAGGCGCCCGCAACATAAGTGATATTGAGATAGCTAGGCCCACCCTTGGCCCCGCAAAGTCAAACACAACCCTGATGTGGCTCTCAATGAAATTGAGTTTGACACCCTGCCCTACATCATATAATAAACTAAAGGAACAGCAGTCTATAAAATGTTGCAAAGTTCACACATAACACTTATCCAAAATGTTTTGTTTAGCATAACGTGTGAGCATAATTGTTGTGTTTCATCAATCATGGTTCATAGCTTGGTTTTATGTATAGCTAAAGCCATTGTTACTTATTAAGCAAGCAACAGCTTAACATGATACATGAACTCAATCAATCTCATATGTCTATTAATTTATTTTCATTTTCTCTCTCAGGTTATTTTTAAAGGAGAAAAAGGAAAAGGAAGGACTGGGGAAATTGGGTTGGATGATATAAGTTTGAAAAAAGGCCGATGTTCTCAGGACCATTAGTGGTACAGATGGATGAAGAAAACAGACTTTGGTTGTCCATGCCTATTATATGAGACACATGGATGATTTCTCCTTTGTGTTTGTGAAATCACAGTGGATCTCCATATAAATAATTCACATTTTCTATAATATATATCTGTCCTTTATGAAGAAAAGACTGTCTAAATGTGCTCAAAAAGAATCAACAACTGAATCCATGTCTTCTTCGTGTTTTCCACTGGCTGGTTATGGGTCATTTTGTGTCAAAAGCTGAAGATACACCCATTATTATTGTACTGCATCAATTTTTAAAGTAGAGTCTTTTGATTGTCTCTGTGTGTATAAATAACATTTATCCCATTATCTTATTGCAAAACGCAGTTAAAGAGTAGCACTACAACCCTTAATATAGGTAGTGCTGTGTTCTGTATAAATATGTATTATTATTATTATTATTGTTGTTAATGTATTTATATAAGTTGTATATTTGCAAATTCTAGTTGTAAGAGGAAATAACATTTGTGCACGTTACAGTTAAACCAGCAAAACAATAGCAAGTTCTTTTTAAAATATATAACACCCGGCAATGGTCCTTGCCTGTCTAAACTCAAACAGTAGAATATTTTACATGATTGCAAAAATGAATATAATGTAAGCATTACCAGATTCAGGAGAATTAGACATCAGCAGTTCTTTTCTGAAAAGAAAAGCATTCATGACTGGCGTCAGCAGCACAAACTTGGCTTTGATGGATTTTAATATTTTTAATATATTCAAGGAAAGTTTGGCAGATCGGTGTTTTTCCTCTCTTATATGATCACAGGACCCCAGGACACTGCCAACCATCATGCGACCACAAGGATGTAAGTGTGAAAAATGGCCATAAGTTACTTTTTCCACTAGTAAGAAACAAAATAGGCTTTGGGGTTCATAAGCAAAGAAACGCAGAACGACCGGTCATGAATTAACCAGAATTATATAGGTAGTCGTCGACTTACAACAGTTCATTTAGTGTTGGTTCAAAATTACAACGGCATTGGAAAAAGTAACTTATGGCCATTTTTCACACTTACATCCTTGTGGTCACATGATGGTTGGCAGTGTCCTGGGGTCCTGTGATCATATTTTCCTACCTCCTTACAAGCAGAGTCAATGGGGAAACCAGATTCACTTAACAACTGGGTTACTAGCTTAATAACTGACGCAATTCATTTCGCAATTGTGTCAAGAAAAGTTGTAAAATGTGTCAAAATTCACTTAACAAATATTTCACGTAGCAACAGAAACTTTGGGCTCTATTGTGATAGTAAGTCAAAGACTGCTTGTACATTATGGCATAAATTCTCTCTACTCTCTCCTCTTTTCAGATGGTTTATTTCTTTATTTCTGGGCAGGTGATTTAATCCACATTACAAGGAAGAAAAACTGTTTCCTGAACATAGCAGAAGGGTTGCAAAAAGGCTCAGTTTCAGATTGTTCAAAAGTCCGTCTTGCACAGTACAGCATAGAGAGAGAAAAACCACAACGAAAATGCAGGAGAATGCAGTAGAAAATCCAAACAGAGTTTTTGGTGGCTTAGAATTTGGACCTTTCAATTCTTATTTGCCAAAATGGAAAATGTAAAAAGTCTCCCCTTGCATCCAGATGGCAATCACGTTGCTGGCATGATAATCTCCCCAATAAGCTATCCAGGTGGTGAGGACTGTGATGGAAAATCCTCTTTTTCATTGCCTCCGAATGGGTAGATCTTCAGCTGTTCCCAGTATAGCTTGATAGAACCAAAACAGGTGGCCAACCTGTCACATTTTATAAGCCCCAAATAATTTAGCTCAATTTCAACTTACTCCATTTCTTACTAACGTGATTTCTTCCTGTATTTCTCACAATATACCAGAGTTCAACAATATGGCACCCTGACCACATATGAAACTATGTGGTCAGACTTAGTTTGTGGGGAGGAAAGTAAGGGGAAAAAAATATCTGCCTCTGCTTACCAGCATCCATTAGTATTCATCTGGCTAGCGTCCTGTCAGTGTGTGAGAGAGTGGAGGGCTGTTTGGAAACTGAAACAGTATTTCCTTTGGAGTTAGAGTTGTAATAGTAATATAGTAATATCCTACTTGTAATCAATTTTAAATTATGAGGGCATGGTGGTCTAGAGGTGGAGCTTTAGGAGGCTTGAGTTTGATCTTAGGTAGTGGCGGATATTTCTCTGGGCACAATGAATAAGTGCTGCGAACTCCGTATAGGTGTCAGGAAGGGCATCTGGCTAGTAAATGCTTGAACTCCGTGAAGTCATCCCGACTCCACCCCAATGCGAGAGATTACGGGGTCATTAAAAGAAAAAAATCAATTTAAATTTACATATATAAAAAAACAATAACAAAAGCTACGTGTTTATAAACTGAAACAGATTTTTAAAGTCCTTTCACATGTACAGTTCTATAGAAGCTCCAAAGATCACAGATTTATTGCTACGCACTACAATGCAGAGGGGATGGACATAACAATCTGAATGAAACTAGCAGTACATCTCATGGTATATGCTGGCAGGATTAAATAATACACTCTTTAAATTATGCCTTGCTCCTGCTATATGAAAACTATATGCAATTTTATATTTTCTAAAGATATGCATACAAATTATTTAACTAAATAAGAATGTATACTTTTTTAATTAATATCTTCCCTGACTTTTCAGTGGATCTACTCAATCTTAACTCTATTTAATGGGCTTCTATTGGAGTGAATAAGATATAAGCTCAGCTAAGAATGTCATGTTTGTGTTGTAATATGTAGGCAATTCAAGACGAAGGTGTTATAATTCAGCTCTGATACACCTCAACTATATTAGGCTCCTCTTTCAATAGGCAGACTGTTAACTATTTTCTAGATGGGAATAAATCCCCAATAAGGATATGGGTTGCTGCTTCTAATAGCAATGAACTGAAAAAGATTGGCTTCTGAAAAAGTAAAAAAGAGGCATGAATTGCTTCCATATTTGGTTATCCTGCTTCTACAATCATAGCAAAATAGGAACTTTTAAATTTCTAGTGAGTTACATGAGCACCATATGCGAAGATAAATAATGGACTTCATGTTTGGAGAAATGTCTTCCCTTAAAATGATCAAACCAATGTGAAGAGCAGATGCTAAAGTCGCATACATATATTTGGTTGAGTGTCTGTTGAGTTGTCAAAATATTTTCTGTTGAGTATTATTTTCTGGAAACTTCTTGTGACAGTTTAAATGCATCAAAGCCATTTCTAAAATGATTTATCATGCTTCGAACTCATAAAAGCAGCAATAAAGTATTTTCATGTAAGCTACTCTTTTTAAGTTGTAGGTATATTTGTGGAAGTATGCAAATAAATAAGTAGAAAACATTTATATTTAAGGAATACAGTTCTGTGTCACACAATATTTATGATAATTTATACAGATCTAACTGACTCTCACCCTGTATGTGGTCTAAGAAAGAGCATGTTGCATGCAGTGGATGGATTTTTAAATCACCTTTTATGAGGTGAGAAAATGTCCCAAAGACACAAATTGAGATATATCTAAAATATGCACATCTGAATCTTTCATCTATATTTAATTGGCATAGATTCTTTTTTTTAAATAAATGTTAGTATTTAAACATGCCTAAAGTCAATGATTAATTAATGGCACCTAGGTGCATCTGTATAATAACTTAACTATCTTTTCTTCTTTTGATTATTGTCTTCATAATTGACAAAATAGTTTTTTGATATCCACAACCTATTAAAATGATATGGTATCCTTGTTTAATCTAATTATGTTTTACTCAGTTGTTCAGATGTGCATGACACATTTATAAACCATGAACCAACACAGAAACTTTATACAAAACAATATACTAAGAATTTCTCATTATATGCAAACACTGTAAGTATGGATAGATATTAAGTATGTCTGTTGAATCTGGGTTATACATGAATGTTAAAAAATGGATTCAGTTCGAAGAATACACAACACCCATGCACATAGCCACACAACCTATATTGCCTTTAGGCCAGTGGTGGGATTCAAATTTTGTTACTAGCGGTTCTGTGGGCAGGCTTGGTGGGCATGGCAGGGGAACGATAGTGTAAAATCTCCAGTCAGAGGTGGTATTTTCCGGTTTTCCGAACTACTCAAAATTTCCACTACTGGTTCTCCAGAACTGGTCAGAACTTGCTGAATACCACCTCTGCTTTAGGTTATCCAATACATTGACATCAATATCAATGTCCTGATGTTCTTACTTCTTTTATTGATGGGAATAAGGCTTTAACAGAACTTAGTTTCACTTGTTTTATATATTGGATTTTTGGTGGGGGGATGAAGGATACAACCAAAAGATATCATAAAATCAACAGTATTTCTTAAATTGTACTTCTTAATTAAGCTTTCTCTTGCGGAAATGGGAAGTTAGTTCTTCAACTGCTCAACCAATTTTTAAAACTTTTGAATTAAAATTCATATATTTCTATCACAGACTATTTTCTTCTTCCTCAAGTATTGTTTGAAGAGATACTGTAAGATGCTGCAGGGCCATTTGCTTAATTTTCCTTTGATCGTTGTTCGACATGATGAAGATTGTTCATTGTGTTACAAAACATCGTGTTGCTTTGGAATGAAGATGATAGTAGAAGAAGGATGATGGAAAATGGGTTAATTGAGGATGGATTACTTTTGTCTTTTTAAAGGTTAGTGGAAGTGTTTTTAGAATGATTTTTTTATACCCAATACGGCAAAACAAAGTGCCACCAACTTTTAGTCACTGTAAGACAGAAATGGTTTGGAAGAGGCACAGAAAAGAATTTCAAGGACTCCCAAGTTTAGTTGTTTTGGATATAGAAGAAATGCTGCTGTGCACTCATGAATATTGCCTCTCTCCATTCTTCTTCCTCTCTCTCCCTTTCTCTCAAAAGGAAAGAAAAAAAAATGAGAGAGAGAGAGAGAGAGAGAGAGACTGCTACAGAGAATATATGTTTGAAGAAATGAACTCCATTTACAGCAACATAATATAAAAAAAATATGATAAAAGTACTAAAAAACTTTTATTTTTCATAGTTTTGGATTGGTTTGTGATGTGTCCTGTTGATATAAAAAGGGTAACCAATTTAAGTGAAGCAATAACTCTGGAAACATTAATTCTAATAGACATATATTGGCTGCAATGGTTCTCTAAAAATTACTAATGAGGCTATTTCCTCAGGCATATATTTCCCAACTATATATTTTAAGATTTAAGCTTAAGAATCGTGATCTGAATAGGCTTCAGCATGCTGACTGCTGTGCCGGGCTTCAGTTGACATTTATAAAGAGCTTACGTTTCTTAAGTGTTCTTTTTACCATAATCTCAAGTAAATAGTCATTGCTGTAATACACGTTCTTCCAGTCAAAACTCTAGAAATATGTGGGGTTCTAGACAAGCAGATACTTTTTCATTCCTTTCAATACCAAATCAGGCTGAGATTAATTGCAAGAAATAAGGAAGATTAGACCTTTTCCCCCCAGACTGCTAAATAAGCAGGTTTTTAAAAAATTATTATGGGTGAACTTTATGAATTGTGTGGAGCCAAATGTTAGATTATTTTGTTTTACATCCAAAATTCTGACATGGGGTTACAATTTTGTACTATAACAATGCAGAACCATACAGAAGTGTAATCATATTGTGATATTCTGACAGGGAGACAAATATAGTAAGAAGCAGAAATGTCACAGATTTTATACATGGCATAAATGAATATATTACAGCTGCAGTTCAAGTCTTTCTACCCTATCTTTGCCCT